CGGTTTTTGAAGATAAATTCCGATGGGCGTAACGAATGCCCTAACAATCTCCACACTTTTCTCGCGAAAATCGATATTCTAATTGTGTTCCTGCGGTTAACATCTGTATTATTTACTATCGACTTTTACCCGGATAAATATTATTGACGTTTGGTTGTAACTACTTACGGTGTTCGGACGAATAATTTTAGTTTCGTCACTTGTGCTTAAACATAAAAAACAAAATACTCGACCGGGCTGGACACCGGACATGATAAAATGAATTGAGGATAATAAAACTCCGGAAAAAAATGCCCCGAATTTTTCCTAATACCGTTAATATACCTAATTTGTGTCGCCGGAAGTGCCCGAGGATCAGCAAACACGATAATACCTGTAACTTCGCAGCGTACCCTGTTGGATTTGAATTTAACGGATTCTTTCGTCTCCGCTCAGAATGTCTGCCACACGAATCGTTCGGAAATAATAATAATATAATATTGCATTGCGAGCGCGGTGTCCTATTTAGAAAAATTGAAAAAAAAAAAACAAATATACCGTGTGACTGTCGCGCCCAGACGGCGTAACCTGTTCGCTCGCTCGATTCCGGACAAGTCGGGTTATTCCTTTGTACTGGTGTTGTACTCTCCGTCATCGATTCACTGGAACACCGCGCGTCATTGAAGGTCTCCGTGCAAATACTATCTAATAAAATTGTACAATTTTATTTTATTTTTTTTTATTTTTTTTTACGATACGTGGATTTAAGATTCTGAGCGCACCGAAGAATGCATATTATTTTTACTATGGTGTGGTTTTCGTGTGTGTGTGTGTCTATTAACAACCTTTTGATTAGATATGTCGCTCAGATTTTCAAGTTATTTTCTGGAAATTTTATTTTGATTTTCCTTGTAGTTTTCTTAACAATCGGCGAAAATGTAGGAAAAATTCGTTATTTTCGATATTTTTTTTTTTTTAATTATAATTCGGTTAAAAATAACCGTAAAGACCTGAAATATTCACAAAATACTTGTGTTAGCCCTTTATAGACGTGGTAAAATTTAATTATCCATAAACTATCAATGCATTATTAATATTCATTTGAAATTTTCGAGTTTTTTTAGTTTTTAATTTGTTTTGCGTGAAGAAATTTGTTTGACTGAGCAGAAATTAATTTTACACGAGGTTCGTCATTAGTTATATTTTAGTAGTAAAACAAAATTTGAGCGTGTATTAGTAGTTTTTTTTATGCATACGTTTAAGTTCAAATTTTTTTAAAAATGTTTAACCGAACTTAACTCAGAGTCGTTTTCGCTAACAATGACTTATCGTTGAGTACTGCGGATATAAACTAAATGACCCTACGCATCCTACCTTCCCGACTTCCCATTTATTTTTTTCATAATTTCCTTTTATAGTCGGTATACATGTTTAAGGCGTACATTTTCGGACATTGCTTGACACAGTAGGTACTCTTAATAAAGTTTTATCGCGTATTAAACGGACGAACAAATTGTAATTTTTTTTAAATTAAACATTCGCGGCGAAATAATACCGCGTTGGCAGCGCAAATAAAAATAATAATAATAATATTAATGTAAATAATTCGAACGCGTTCGGTGTGAACGAATGAATAAACAAAATCGAGATTTACATCGGAGAAAACCGTTGAAAACGGTAATCGACGTTTTTATTTCGATATTTGTAAAACGCGCGAATATTATTGAACAAACGTCCGCGGGTACGCCGCGTGCATGGCATACTTCCTCGTTGACAGAAAATTAACGCGAGAGTAGAAAAAAAAAAAAATAAAAAATAAAATATAGGTTAGCGGAATTATGCATTTTGAGATCAACGCGCGTTGAATTTACCGGACGTTTGGCGATATCGATGCGTAATAACGGCGCGATCGCGGAGATACTCGAACGGGTACTCAGCTAATGCGTTGTCATTATTATATTCTTACCGTTTGAAATTAATTTTATAACACACCGCGTTCAATCTCCTCGCGTTCGCACACGTGTGCGAATAGTGATTACCGTAATAACGTTAGAAATTAAGGACAAATATAATATTATTATTATCGTGTGCCGGGCGTTTACATTATTCAATGTCCGTGTAAACAGAACGGTCGTGTTCCCAATACGATTTTTTTCTTTTTCCCCGTGCGGATAGAGAGTGTATAAGACATTCTTTATAGGTGTGTTCGGATGTGTAAACTACCGCGCATAATAACCCGGCGCGTTGCTGCGGGTCCGTCTTCCTCTCCCGTACGCCGCGTGTTTGATATTCGACCTTTCTCTAGAAAACTCATATTAAGCAAACAGAACTTTGCACGGGGGGAGGGGGGGGAACGCAATACAAATTATGCCTACGCAAACGTATTCCGTACGACGTACCTACCTGTGCGTGTAGAAATTGTTTATTTGACGTACACGACGATTATCCCCCCAGATAATTTCCAAATATTATTTTTCTGCCAAACTTTTATCACGTACTAGACAGTTTGGAAAAACGCAGTTCAAAACGATACGTCCGCGAATTAATACATTTTATATTTTCACATTATACAGTAAGCGATACCGTTTCCTCACCCCCCCCCCCGCCATTCTGGATAAAGCAAGAAACGCGATAGCTACAAGGATATTATTTTTTTTTACTTTTTACGCTTGCGCGCGCGTGTGTGTGTATTTTTAGTTTTTGTTGAAAACGCCGTACAACGAGTTATTTTAAAATTACACAGAGCCTTATTGCAGCGCATATTACCTAGAAATCGTATGTACAAAAAGTATTTTAGGTTTTAATAAAGCGGTTTTAACGAGGCGACATTTTTCGAATTTTTCTGAGCTATTTCCGAAAAACTAAATTATGATTACACAGTATGTTTTTCGTTTATTTTTATCGTCACTGGTTTCAGTGTATATGCATAGTTTCGTAAAAAACAACGAGTACACGACTATATAGTACGAGTACGGATTTTGAAACGCTGAAAACTTGTAGCGAAATCGTATGAAGCATATAGCCATTCGTCTCTAAAAAACCGAAACACTCTAAAAACAAAACTTTAAAATAAGTTTTTCTCGTTCGACTTGTTGTTAATTATTAGTAGGTACTTACCTACGCCGCCTTGAAATGGATGAAAACTCTTAAGATGCATTATAATAGTATCTAATATCGAACGAAATAGTCTAAAATCTGAAATTAACCCGTAACAGCAATGCAAAATAAAGGGGTCCGTGCAATAACGAGAGAACTCCACTTTTCATAATTTTTCAGGAGACAAAAAAAAAAACCGTTTTAAAAATATTGTATTTACGATAAAATCAATTTTAAAGTCAATTTAGATGCATTAGACCATGATAAAAAATATTCCGTAGTATTTGATTTGATTATTTTGAGATGAGATAACTAATATTAACCTAAATTATATGCAGTTATCTGGTTTTTTGTCCAGAAATTTGTATTCGTAATTTTGTCATCAATTGTTTTAATACTAAAAAAACGAGGGAAAAAAATACCAGACAATTTCTTTTACATCATATCTCCTAGACGGACGGTCGGATTTATCTCGTTCTTATACAGATATTTTCGTAATTTTTTTCTTAATTGTATACCGTCAAAATCCCATTTTTGAAAACAAAAAGAAAAGAAATGCATCTGTCTCGGTATTGCACGGTCCCCTTCAAATTATGTCGGTGTAGGTTTATTCTGCGACGGACGAATCGTTTAGCAACTTTGCATATGAAATTAGGAGACAAGAGCAAACATCGCCTTCGAAACGCGTACTCCGCGCAGAAATAAATACCAACTCGTGTAATAACATAAAAACGTATAACGTGTGACATATATGTATACGCACGTTCTCACCTCGGAAACCTTGGGTCCTAATAAAATTGGTTTAGGAAGACGGTAGTAGAGTGCGTATACACGCGGACGGACTACAATGTTATTATAATAAGATGAGCAACGTCTCGTGTTAAGCCATGCTGAACGTTGCTTGTGTTCGGATGGGTGACCGCCTGGGTAAACGTTTGCGACGATCGCCTCCCGACGTCCAATGCGCACGCGAATTTAATTAACGCCAGTGTGTACCTGCGCTTTACTAATAAAGGACGTAAAATATTAGCATTTAACGTTCAAACAATAACGGGGGAATTTTTTTTTTTTTCTAATTCGCGAGACGTATATTATTATATTTTGCTTTCGGAACTCGTTCAAACGCGTGAAGTTTAAAATTGAACACGTACATTTCATAACTTTGTGCCCGTTTACACAAACTTTTGGTGCAGATAAATATCATACTAAAATAATAAACTGCGAGTTTCGGTCAAAAACATTTTTCGAATACCGTAATAATTTGTCGCTGTTTTCGAAACAACGTAATAACGTCATGCTGTATACACAATATGTAATTCTATAAAACAGATAGATTAATACATAATCGATATATTATACCAACGCCCGCTGCGTCCCTGCAATAACTCTGTAACAATATCCTGTTCGTGCTTTCATTTTTGAACTTGCGTATAATATTTATATATATATATTTTTTTTTTTACCGCGAAAACCTAAAGTAGAGAATAAAAACCAACATCAAAGTAGAAAAATAATATTATACACAAAGTGCTTGCGTATATAATGCCAGAGAAGATAATATTCGTAAATTTTAAATCCCACGGTTGTACACGGTGTTTAAGTATAGGTATATGTATTTTAGAAATATTAATAATAACCTGTCCTACCGCGGCATAAATCCCCAGATTAAACTCGGAACTACCACATATATATATATATTTACTTACACTTAGGTTTATACTATAAAAACGGTAGCTAACTGAAACGACGCCGAAATAATAATTTTAATTGAAAAAAAAAAAAACCGCAATAAGATCCATTTAACGTAACTTAACAGGTACGCATTACTCTTTCTAAGTGAATTGTCGTGTATCTTACGCTAATTATTTTTCATTGCTCGAAATACACCCAATAATAGTCATTTAATACGACGCTTTACCGTTGTTTATAGCACCGATAATTTGTTCAAAGTCGACATTTTTATTTTTAACCACTGAATCGTTGTAGTTTTTATTTTAACTTGAATACAATATTATAATATATAGAAAACTATATACGGTAACATAACACTATGAATAGCTAACTAAACAGTAAATAGATAACTAACATACTTCCCCTTCGCCTTCATCCCGACTATTTGAGGTCGGCCAATAACTATACGCGGTAACGTAACACTATATGAATAGTCGGACATTCGTTAGTGAATATCCACTGTGTGACCACTCTCTACTCATTAAACAAAAATCTTCACGAGCAGAATTTCTCCTTTTGAATGTTCGATCTTTCCTCGAGGACCCATCAACCCACATGTGAAAATATAATAGGAAATATAATATTTTGTCACAAATCTACTTTAATTCTTTAATTTATCATATTTTTTTTAGTACACACACAGTAGGTAAGTAATACCACACTCTACTAAAGGTGTCCATTTAGATACGAAAAACCTCTTTAAAAAACAATTACCTGATAAATAGTTTAAACGTTAAACGTATTTGTATTCTCCTTCTTCTCGTGTAGCTTTTATATTACATTTAGAGCTTTTGCTTTTCCCATTATTTCACCCTATACCTCTTATTATTCTCACTCTTTTCTATACCTATTTCTTGCGCTCATTTGTCAAGGTCTGTCTTCATCGATCGTCCGTCCATCTCTGCCTGAAATGGCTTCTTGGTAATTCCTCCCCACGGTTTTTCCCCTTATTTCCAGTATGCATATTATCCTATTATCTCTACGTAGGCATGAACTACCCGATCCACTTTTTTACTCCAGATATACACATTAATTCTCGGATTTATTTATTCTCTGCGATTTTCGATTGCGAATTTCCATAACCTCCATGGGCATGCACTTGCATCCCCTTGAATTTTTGTAATGGTGTAATACTATCATTTTGCACCCGTTGAATTTTCTATATGCTAAACTTTTAAATATTTATAAAGTAATGATAACGACAATAACAGATTATCATCTGATAATTACCACGTTCTCATCAATGATACTCATCGATTTACAGTTCTTATATTTTACGTATGTGAATTAGTAAACTGTTATTATTTTTATGTTTTATATTATTATGTTTTTTCTCGTAGACATATTAACTTATTATATATTTTTTTCCTACAGTGAGAAACACTGTATTTTTATATCAGTTGTAATCACGGTATGTACCATACATGTATAATAGAATAAACCAGGAATGATACGAAATATGTGAGGCTAAAATTACTTTATAGATCTGCGGGTTTATCAAAGAGAGTATAACTTTCATCACACTGATAGTCTGTGATATGCAAAGTTTATCGATAATATTCTATATATTAAGACGAGCGTCTAGAGACAGCAGTGAGCAAATTCCTTATCAATTATAATACAATATTTTTTATCAAATAACCTGCTCCCGAGTTTGTGTACATTATTTTATTCTCATGTAAATGTTACGACTATACAATTAAAAATAATAAGTATAAACATATTTGTACAGTGACAATTATTATGTCAGATAACAATGATATTAACACCAAAAGTGATTATACTAATCCAATGGATACAGAAAAAATTTGTATAAAAATGTCTGATATACAACAAATTATTACTCCATCTGCAGTTAGATTTTGCAAACAAAATTCAGTAATCTCATAGCATGTTTGTGTCACAGTCGGATAAATTATATGATGAAAAGTTACATAAAATGAATTTATCCTTAGATTCAAATTTAAAAATGCTATATGAACAAGAATTTAATGTTCCTGTTTCATTAAATGAAAATAAAAGCCAATAAAAATGTTAAGAAACAATTGCGATTTTTTTGAACTAAAAAACTTCTTTTAAAAATACCAGAAAAATAATGATCAAATAAACAAACATTGATTGTAAGAAAACAAATAATAGATGAATTGAACGAAAAAGATAGGTCTCCTTATGCATATGGAAAACAAGACATGATTTATGCTATTTTCATTATGCTACTTTCGTTTACCTATATACCTATATACTTATTATTTTTTTTTTTTGTCTGTTTGTAAAATATTCTGTAGTTTGTATGTTGATAACATTTTTTTTATGCATAATATTAAATTATTTGATAAGCAATATTACAATTATAATTAATAAGGATTTTGCTCATGGGCTGTTACTAGACGCTTGTTATATTCAATTAACCTTGCGTGATATTTACCCATTATGTGTGTACCAATTTATCTTAAATGGGGATAGTGATATCACAAATTAGATGAATGGTGAAACCACTTGGTCGCGAAAATTGTTGCTATGCTATCAAGTATCAATGATCATAATATATAGTCTGTGAGAGTCATTTTACTCATATAAATTTACATCAAATATCAATGTATTAGATCCACAATGTTGACTAATTATTTATAGAATAAAACTTACTTAGTGCGCAATCAAAAAAAATTGTATTTAGGAACTGGAATTAAATTGAAAGTAGTAAATAAACAGAATAGCAGAGAGTTGATAACTTTTCTGATTTATTTTGCAACCCCCTGGATTTTAGTGAAATTACGCCTATGATAACCTCAATATTATACCTATTCTTCCGAATAAACAAATATAACAGCTTCGTTTTGAATTATAATTCACAGTAAACATACAGTACAAAATATATTGTACACTACGAATTTATTTCAAATGTGTTGTAGTCGATGGTATATATTTTTTAACAGAATACGTCCGAATGGCGTTCAAAACAACAGTTATCTATCAAACATTCACACGCGGCGAACGATCGGGGTCTTTTAATTTTTTTAATTAAACCCATATACCCGTCATACTAGAATATAATATAATATTACAACAACACTATTTTGGTCAGTTGTTTTTTTTATTTTCAAAACATTACGCACGACATAAGCGCGTGAACACGTATTATAAAAATCACAATTTATTATTGCCCGATGCATTGTGTTTGGTAAGCACCAAGTAAAATCGATCCCAGTATACGGCCTCCGGGAGCCTGAGGGGGCCTGTGGGAGGGGGGTGAGAGGGAGGAGCTCACGGATCGTTGACATTGTTTCGTTGTTGGTTTTAATGGTACTGGCGGCGGTATATACGGACGACGAATGCGGGGTGAAAAGGGAATAAAAAGTGAAAAACAATATATACATATACATAAAAAAAACCGACGACGATGACGACAAAAAGCATGTATTAAAATATACGTACAGAATAATACCAAATACTAACACTGGTACAAGCGGACACCGTATCCTTGTTGTTTATCTAAATAATATAATACCTATGCATGGTGCAAAAGTCGTCAGCTTGCAGCAGTCATGGTCCGGGTACCAACTACAGTAGTATTATAGGTAATCGAAATCAAAATTATTTATTTACGAACCGGTCAAAAGGTGGATATTTTCAAATGTCGTGAGTCCCGGTGTACATGATTCTAATAATAATTTCGGTGGCCTTGTCCGTCACCACGTATATCAACGTACGCAGCTCCGAACGACTGGACGTTTCGGTTACTTCATAATATTAATTTGTCTATTCACATACAGGGCGTTTCTTTTATGGTGATTATCCAGCGATTTTCTCGAAGGATTTCAAACGAATTTGATTTTTTTTTTCAATCGTTAGATAAGCTTCATTTTAATACAGTTTTCAAATTTTTACCCTACTACTTACGTCTTAAACGAGTGTAGGTTTAGAATTTTCAAATCGCAATCTCCCTATCCCATTAATCCAAACACAAAATCTAATAGAGAATATTTGTCTAAAAATGACGATACGCAAAACGCTATGTTTAATATTGGGTTTACCGTTTACGTGCAGTTGGTTTATCCGCAGTTTACAATTCATACCCGCTCCGGTCTAGGGTATACGTGTATGAATGAATTGGCTGTGATAAACATACCAGCCTGTACAATATAGTATGTATTACGCACATGCACGGTTTGTTTCGTAATTTCATCGCGGCGTCTGAATATTCCGTTTTAATCGAGAAATTCTAAACCGTAATAAATTCAGTCGAGGCGTTTAATTAATAAAAAAAAAAAAAAAAAAAAACCGACATCAATTATTATTGTTAATATTCGAAAACGTTAATTTTATACGACGCGTCACCGTGATGCAGTGTCCGTTTACAATCGCCCGTCGTACACATTAATCGCCGGCATAACACTTTTATGTATATACGGCTCGAGGGCGATAAGTTTTGAAACCGAGACCCATACGGATACCCATTTACGTATTTTAATTGATATCTAAAAGACGGGCGTTTAGTGAAAGTCCGCCGATAGATCTTTTTTTTTTTTTTTTTTTTATTCCCCTGTACGAAACTGTCGAAGTGCGGGTCCCGTCGTCGGTGTTTTTTTTTTTGCCGAAATTGCGCCACACACTGTGCCTATACGATATTAGTACAATAATTATCCGTCATTACTCATTGAGAATAAGACGAGAGAACGTAATATTCCATAGAAGCCCCTATAGAGAGAGATTTACGGCTACGAATCGTTCCTCGGCGCGTCGCTGAAACTCATAATCGTCGATGTTAAATAATTACCTATATTATGAGATAATTATGACGAAGACTCGTTGCGTTATTTTCGTGTATAGGCCAAACGGTTTGTTTTTTTTTTTTTTCTAGTCGAAATTTCAAAAAATAATGGACACGTGCGGTGCATGAGACGATACACTTACTCGAAACGAAACGGAAAAATAAAAAAAAAAAAAAAAGAAACGTATGAAATAATATACGAGTAGTCGAGTGTAGAGACGCGGTAGTTCTTAACTAGTCAAGATGACGCCACACACCCGCACGATGTGCTGTCTCCGAATTTACAAACGTATACGACGTACCGAATTTACGTTCGGCGCGGACAACTCGGTGCCGTTTGGTTTGATGTCGGATCGTATTGACGGATCGCTAAACTTAAAGACGACAACGACATTACCATAGACACGTCATTGTCCGTGCGAATGCGTCGGCTTTGTCGGCGGTTCAATTCTCACGCGAGATTTACTAGCGTATTTTTAAACTTTGATAATTCGCATAATGTGTTATTGGGGTATATCGTGAAAATTAAAATATCGAAAAAGAAACCGACGTAAATGCACGGATGATGTTCCCGTCATTAAGTTTGTCGATAGGTCAATTGTTACCATTCCAACACATTAAAATACTGACGGCGCCGAATTCGTCC